GGTTTTAGAAAAACTACTTGGAAGTATTCTTAACCAAAACACGAGAGATTTGTAGTTTTTGTAGCATCGTACTTTCGTTTAAATCATATAATGGCAGCCATATTTCTGTTTTAAATACAAATGAGAACTGAGAATAAAGAACTACAAAAGTTAAATGCATTGGGAAAGTAATATATTTTCATAATATTTAATGTTGGTGTAAAAGAGCTCATCTAAAGTTTAAAAAATTCTTTTAGAAAAATCATCCATTAAAATAAATTACAACCGATTCCAATTGATAATAAAAAATCCAAACTTTGAAACTTCAAAATTAGTTCATATTACTAATATTTAGTAATCATATACACATAACATAAGCCATAAAACACGAGATCAATAACTTACTTGGAAGTGCTCTGGAAAGAAAAAACAGGGATGCTGTGATTTGTAGTTTTTAAAAATATGATCAAACCCAATTCGTTATGAGTTGTGATTTCTGAGAAGTCGTTGAATTGAATTCCAATTTGAATGAACTTGTTAAAGGTGAAATTCGAAATTAGTAGATATTTTTTTTGAAATCGATTTTTCTAAAATCGTTTTTCTTTGAATGAAGATTTTTTTTTTTGTGATAAGCAGCCGCTTATTGGATTGATCAAGGAAGACGTGATTTGCAGCCGATCATCAAGCGTATAAGGAAGACGTGATTTGATGTAATCTAATTAGGAACGTAGCAAACCATTTATGGAAATTGTATTTTTTTTTAGAAAATCAATCCAATAATCGAAACTATGTAGTTTTGTGGTTAAGGATACCTAACCTTGTATATTCACTTTACTATATATATATATATATATATATATATATATATATATATATATATATATATATATATATATATATATATATATATATATATATATATATATAGTTAGGTTCATTTGAGACCACCTATATTTTGTGAGACCGTGAGACGCATTTTTTTATTTTATTTAGTTAATTCATGTTACGAAAATAATATTTAAAAACAGATTTTTTTGATTTTTCCATTTATTTTGCATTTTAAAATTATTTTTAGAATATGTACAGTGTAATATTCTATTTAGAATATTTCACGTATTTTTCAAAAAAAAAATAGAATTTTTATTTTATTTTTTTTAATTAATTCAAATTCCGAAAATAATATTTAAAAAAAGAATTTTTAGATTTTTCCATTTATTTTGCATTTTAAAATTATTTTTTAGAATATGTCAGTGTAATATTCTATTTAGAATATTTCACGTATTTTTCAAAAAAAAAAAGGAATTTTTTATATATTTTTTATTTTTTTTAGTTAATTTAAGTTCCGAAAATAATATTTAAAAAAAGAATTTTTGGATTTTTCCATTTATTTTGCATTTTAAAATTATTTTTAGATTTGGTCTCACGGTCTCACAAAATTAGAATGGTCTCAAATGAACCTGAACATATATATATATATATATATATATATATATATATATATATATATATATATATATATATATATATATATATATATATATATATATATGAGACCCTCTTCTGCAAGATTACGCTATATACGTAGCAGCTTCCCCACCAATCGCTCCTCACGCCTCCGTCATATGGTTGTAAGCTACCTGCTTGGCTGCTTAAACTCCCCTTAACTCTACATCAGGGCTCTCGAAACGGTGTCGTTTCCATGCCGATGAAAGCTGCTTACAGTCAACCTGACCTCACGATTAGGTAGAAGACGTGGCGGTGGGTTTTGGTGTTTCCCCCAAAGTTGTTTGCCACTCTTGGAGTCCGATTTACCGCCACCTCCCCTTCATTGTGGTTGAGTCATCCTCTTGACTTTCTTTTCACACCGACTCCATCTTTACTATGTATTTAATTAAGGTCCTTAACAATTTCATATCGTTGTGGTTAATTGGTTTTTCTAGGATTTTACTTTATGCAATATACAAGGCTACTTACTTTCATTTTGCTTTATGCAATATACACGGCTAAGAATTCTATTTCCATTTCTTTAAATTGCAGAGTTGTAGTTCCAATTAGCGTGAGGCATTGTACTTTTTAATATCTACCCAATAACGACAATTTACTTTCACTATTTTTCTTACTAATACAATATAGTTTCAAATATTTATGAAATTATAGCATTTTACTTTCAATAGTTTCTTATATTTTTACTTTGAAGAATCTACTGAATTTTAACATATTGCCTTTAAATCCTTTTAAAAAACAATTTTAATCATATTATATTCAATTTATGAACTTTGTTTTGAATCTTATGAACAATATTGAGTAATACCATTGTACTTTTCCAAGGTTTGTTTATCTGTTTTTAGGCTAGAATGCAAGTAATAGCAATGTCCTTCCCAAGTTTCTTTGTTATAACATTGTACTTCCTTTTGTTTTTATTACAAAAATGTACTTTCGTATGACTTCTTATAAAAGACATTGTACATTGATCAATCAACCATATTACAACTATAGGGAAGTAATATCGATCAATGTACTTGAAAGGGTAATGAACTTTCAATTTTTGTCACATTTAGTCACTAAATTTTTTTTCATTATCTATTTGCCATTGAACTATTGAAACTGTTCACATTTTACCCTTATGACCGACTGTTACCGGTCACAAGGGTAAAATGTGAACAATTTCAATAGTTTAGTGGCAAATAGATAACGAAAAAAAGTTTAGTGACTAAATGTGAACAAAATCGAAAGTTCGTTTCCCTCTAAAAAGTTCAATGACTAAATGTGAAAAAACTTCCTATTGTATTATGTTTTAGCAAAATCATTTATTTTTGTTTAATTGTAGCAACATTTGTTGATGAAGAAATCTATGAAATAAAAAACAAAATGTAACATCCGGATTTCCAAGTATCATAATTGAAGTATTTTTCTTTTGAGTTAAGAAGAGAGACTCGACGAGTTGACGCCTCAACTCATCGAGTAAGGTCGCGACTGATGACTCGGATTAATGAATGGACTCGACGAGTCGGTGAGGCGACTCGATGAGTCCGCGCTATTGGCAGAAACGCTAAATCTTTGGGCTCGATCCATATTTAAAGGCACTTATGGCCTTAAATTGCGATTACCTTTCCCATAAGTGAGAACTCTATCGAGCTTGAGTGTGTAGAGTGAGAGGAAGAGCTATCTTGAGCTTTTTGGTGTGATAGATCTGGACCCTCCTAGGTCCAGAGAGCCGAGAATATGAAGCTTTAGTAGAGTAAACCTTGGGGTTTGAAGTTAGGAAGCATAACCTTAACCAACAATGTGATGAAATAAAATGATGAGAGATAGGTAATGATAGAAAGGTGATGATAATTAGGTAAATAGATGATGATGAATATGTGATGTAGAATGAAAGGAGATACCATAACCTTAACCAACAATGTGGCGATGTAGTCATCTGCTAGAGTATAGATGGCGACCACAGACTATTCTAGACAACCCAATGGAAACACCACCAGACCCATAACCTGTAGGTGATGAATTACGATTTCAGGCGATGTTATAACTACGTATTCATGCGATGATACTCTAACCCCTTACTATGAATTACGAGTTCAGATGATGTTGTAACTACATATTCATAGGATGTTACAAATTTCGCATGCCAAACCAATGGTCATAATTCACATCAGTGAGAATGGTTTATTTTTTTGTAAAACCAAAATCAGATTGGAAATTTTGATTTTTTATTTTGGAAAATGTCAAATCATTGGTTTTTTATTTCGGTTTTGGTTTTTTGTTTTTTTTTAAATATATTTTCAGGGTTTTGTTTTTTTTATTTCACAGATTTCTTCATCAACAAATGTTGCTACAATTTAACAAAAATAAATAATTTGCTAAAACATAATAGAAGAGGAAGTTTGTTCACATTTAGTCATTGAACTTTTTAGAGGGAAACGAACTTTCGGTTTTGTTCATATTTAGTCACTAAACTTTTTTTCGTTATCTATTTGTTATTGAACTATTGAAACTGTTCACATTTTACTCTTATGACCGACAACAGCCGGTCATAAGGGTAAAATATGAACAGTTTCAATAGTTCAATAACAAATAGATAACGAAAAAAAGTTTAGTGACTAAATGTGACAAAAATCGAAAGTTCGTTACCCTTTCAAGTCATTATCCCTTATTTATTTATTTATTTTTTTAAATTGTAAGACTAAACTACATTTATGGTCCCTGTTTGTAGTTGCTTCTTCAAAATCACGTCCAAAACTTTTTAATTTTTTATTTTTTTTATTATACGTATTGTAATATAGATAAGTAGCATCAAATCTTTTGGGAGTATATAAACTTTATCTAGCATAAACACCTTTCATCAAATGGTTTCGAAAAACAAAATTCCAATTTATAAAATAGCTGCTTAGTGTACAATATACAACTATTTAACGTAAAAAAAAAAAAAAAATCTACTTAAAGTTTCTAAAGAAAACAAGCAAAAGAAATGATCGTATAACAATAATAACCTTTATAAGTTGGTTATAACTTATGCAACTATACAAACATTGGTAAAACATAGCTATATTGCAAGACAACTATTACAAAAAATGGTTAACATGCTTCAATTTACATTATCGATAAGAAAAACACCACACCACTACAAAAAAGAATATGACAATTCCCACACGTCTAAATCAACAAAATTTAACTCATTTCCATATGCTGTCCGTCGTTTTTAAATTTCCAGAATTACCATTGGTGGCCTCTAAAATCCACTAGTATATATATAATCAAAGGCGCTGATTCCATCAATGGGATCATTAGTGTAATTTAGTTTAATCTTCTTAAAAAAATATGAAAAATATTTTGATTCGTGATATTATCACTAATTCTGACATTTTTATTATATTTTATTTTATGCCATTAGTTCCTCACTTTCATCATCGTGTCTTATTTCTACTCCCTTTTGAACGTTGACGCAGAAACCATACTATAAAACTAGGATAATCTTCGACCTATTTCTCCGGTAAGCAAATCCTTTTTCTTCTTCATCATCAATGGAGGTCCCGACTGTTAAAATCATCTCACATTGCTTCGTCAAACCAAAATTTGTATCGGAAGAGGCTAAAAAACCCATTTACTTGTCACCATGGGATCTAGTCATGGTTAATGTAAACTACATCCAAAAGGGTCTGCTTTTCCACCGGCCGGAAACTCAAGATTTCTCCATAACCACATTCTTGGAGGAGCTCAAAGACTCTCTCTCCGCCACGCTTACTCATTTCCACCCACTCGCAGCCCGTTTAGCCACCGTAAAACAACAAAACCCACCTTCCATTGTTGTGTTCTTGAACCCTGAGAATAGCCCTGGAGCCAGATTTATCCATTCGGCTGTTAATTTAACGGTGGCGGAGATACTTACGCCGGTCGATATCCCGGTGATTGTTCAATCGTTTTTCGATCACCACAAAGCTATCAGTCACGACGGACATGAAATGTCGTTGCTGTCGATTCAGGTGACGGAACTCACCGACGGAATATTCATCGGCTGCTCGATGAATCACATGGTTGTTGACGGAACCTCCTACTGGCTTTTCTTCAACTCCTGGTCGGAAGTTTTCAGATCAAAAGCATATAAAATTGGTGATTTGATTCCCATCATCTCACGTCCTCCTGTTATGCAAAGATGGACCCCGGAAGGATCCGACCCGATCCTCACCCTCCCATTTACCCATGAAGATGAATTCATAGATAGACCCAATCGTCCATTTTTAAGAGAGAGAATCTTCCATTTTTCATCGGCTTCTCTCTCTAAGCTAAAAGCGAAAGCTAACTCAGAGTGCAATACAACCAAGATTTCATCGTTGAAGGCCCTCTCAGCCGTTGTCTGGAGGTGTGTGACGCGTGCACGGCGGTTACCGGCAGATCGGGAAACCGGTTGCAGATTGGCCTTCAACAACAGACACAGGCTATCTCCGCCTTTACCTGAAACTTACTTTGGTAACTCGATTTATGTAGTTAGAGGAGAAGCGACGGCGGGGGAGTTGCTGGATCACGGTGCCGGGTGGGCGGCGTGGCGGTTGCACGAAGTAGTGGTTAATCATGACGATAAAGCGATCAGGGAATTTGCGGGTTCCTGGATAAAGAATCCGTTTGTGGTTAAAATGAGTCAGTTTTTTTATGCGAACAACGTACAGATGGGGAGCTCGCCGAGATTTGACATGTACGGAAATGAATTCGGGTTAGGGAAAGGAGTGGCGGTTCTGAGCGGGTATGCTAATAAATTCGATGGGAAAGTGACGTTGTATGAAGGACGGGAGGGCGGAGGAAGCATGGATCTAGAAGTCTGCTTGTTGCCGGAAAACATGGTGGCTTTTGAATGTGATGATGAGTTCATGAATGTTGTTAATGGCCTTTTATAATTTTCGTCCTTGGTGCTGTCTTTTTCGTTTGATACTTACGCGATCTTTAGCGGCTGTTTCTGTTTTCTTTATTTTCATGGGTACTAATAAAAAAGTGATAAGTGATAACGACTTTTAAAGAAAATGAACTTTACTCTCTCTCAAGAAAATGAACTTTATTCTCTCTCTCTCTCAATATGATTAATTAGGGTAATTAACTTTTTGGTTTGTTGGTATGAAAATAACTTTTTTTTTTTACAAATTCAGGTAACAAATTTTTTGGAACTGTTTACATATGACCATTATAAACTGCTGTATCAGGTTACATTAGGTTACAGTAGGTCATAATGGTTATATATTAACACTTTCAACAAGTTTGTTAACTAGATGCGTACAAAAAGAAATATTTTTACCCAAATATGAACAAAACCAAAAGTAAGAGTAAATTACACGAATGATCCTACTGTTTATTATTTTAATTCGGATGGTCTTACTGTTTATTTATTTATTATTATTCTTATTATTATTATTATTATTTTGCGTTTGGTCATTGTCTTATCTAAAAATATTATTGTGCCATTTTTAATTTATTTATTTATAATTAATTTTTTTATTTATGTATTTTTTATATGTTAAAAAAACTAATAGACCCCACATATTTGTATCTCCTCACTATCCAATCTCTCATCATCCTTAACTTCTATTTCTTTTCCATTTTTAGTGATATCGACGTATTCACCCTCCATTCTTTTTCGATCCTTCAACTCCAGCGAACAAACACCACAACCCACTAAAGTGAAGAGACAATGAATTATAGTGTTTGTTCCCCAGAGTTGAAGGACCAAAAAAAGGATGGTGAAGACTTCTATGTCACTAAAGATGGAAAGAAAATAGAAGTTGAAGAGGATGAGAGATGAGATGGTGACTGGTGGGATCCAGATTAAATTTCTCAAATGTGGTTTGAGGTTTACGGTAAAGAGATATAGATATGTGGGGGTCTATTAATTTTTTTAAACATATAAAAACAAATACATAAATAAGAAAATTAATTAAAAAATAAATTAATAAGGGCACAATAGTCTTTTTAGGTAAGACAAGGACTAAGCGAGCAACAAAAATAAACAACGGGGACCATCCGAGTGAAAAAAATAAGTTTGGAACCTAAACCATAGAGACCATTCGTTACTTTTGGTTTTGTTCATATTCAGATAACTATTTTTTTGTACACATCTAAGTAACGAACTTGTTGAAAGTGTTCACATATAACCATTATGACCTGTTGTAGCTGGATGTAACCTGCTATAGCAGGTCATAATGATCGTATGTGAACAGTTCCAAAAAGTTTGTTACCTTGATGTGTAAAAAAAGATAGTTACCTATATATGAACAACTCGAAAAGTTAATTACCTTAATAAGTCATATTCCTATATATTTTGGTCACTTAGATTTTTTTTATATCATTAAACATATTAAAAATATCTTATTATAACCGGATACTACAGGTAAAACACATTTTAAAAACAGGCACACACACTGCTCACACACATACACCCCTACAAACTCTACCTTTTTTTTCTTTATGAAAATCAATTTCAAGCTCGACTTTGTTCACATGGGTTCCAAAAACCCTTTGGATTTTGTTTCTGAGAATCACATGGTTCTTGGATTTTGCAGGCATTTGTTCAAGAACTTGTTTTTGAAAATCAATTTCAAACTCGATTTTTCTTTCTGAAAATCAGTTTGTTCTTGCACACAAATGTGTGTTTGTGTCTAGTCCACTGCCTCTTCCAATGTCAATATTCATATCGTGCATTAAATTGTGAATGAATGACTTCTTATTGTTTTTTTTACAAGCAAAATATACTTTATGCCGTGGAATAGATAATATTATTCTCATCATACTATAAAAATTACTATATAGCTTCAGAAGTCAAATCGGGCAACAAGTTGTGTCGTTAGTCGTTTCTAGATCGCAAAACTAATTATTTTGTAAACAACATCCGTAAATCTAGAGATATAACATTACTATGCATGACATGTTGAACTTTGTTGAAAAGTTCGATTGTCTCGGGTGCGAGAAAATCAAAGGTATCAAATATGAAAGGTATAAACACATGTTGATTTTTAGTGCATATATTCTCGTGTGTTTTCATTTTGCATTCGACAGCTTTCAAAGCAGCATGTACCGTTGTGAAACACTCACTCCTAAAACCTACAAGAGGGGAGACATCAATAACATCCACACAATCATGTTTCTTTCCTATCCATCCAAAGAGCAAAATGTTAGTAGGAGTATGGATCTTCCATCCCGCAGGTCAGTTAAAAAGTTCACAACCGCTTTTTGAAGTGTGGGAGTTCTCTACAATGAACTGTTATGTTCCCCAAAGGTGTCCAAACATGTCTTGTAGCAAACCGGACATATCTCATTGATCGGGAATAGAGGAATTATAAAGTGGTATCGAGGGATAGTATTGTATTCCTTAGGAGACATGATGACTGATACCTTCAGTAGGGATAGTTAGTAGAAAATCCTGAGCATAAGGTGCTCAAAGACACTCAAAAACTTCTTTCTGTCTAACAAACATGTCCAAGTCGATTTCCATATCCTTTACGGTTTTGCAAAAAAGGGAACATACTAATGCTTTTTGGGATTTAGGGGGTGGTGTCCTTATTGGTAAAACTGCTACAATTGAATTCCAGAATCGTATCCTGGAGACGATCCAAAGCACAAAGATAATCAAAACCATTACCACATATGTCACTGATAACGTGCCCTATCTAGCATGAAAGAACCGCGCGCCCGCTAGAGTTAAGTCTAGAACATCGTAGCTAGCGCAGCAACGTTACGCCTACCGGACTAGGGGACTTGATAACATGCCCTAGCCAGCATGAAACAACCGCGCCCGGCCCAAAGACTAGTGCGCCCTTCAGAATAGACTCAACGGAGCTTAGTCCCCGTTAGCGCCCCTAAGGGCAGGGCACTCTGGCAAAAGGTTGGTGTAGCGCCCATAGATCCGGGCTAGTTAATTTAAAGATAATAAGGGTCAAAAACGACTTTTTGACAAAATATTATTTAGTATAAATAATCTTAACCAAGTTGTATAATATGTCTCAAGGGTTTCGTACATATAAAGAGCGCCAAAATCCGAGTTATAACGAAGAAGTTATGACCCGTCGAAGTTTAGCGACTAAACCGGCACGACACCGCGAAGACGTAAATAGTGAATTTATGATAGAGCGACTTTTAGCCTTATTAATCTAAATTAAAGTCGTAGAATATGTTAACCTGATAACGTCTATAAAAAGAACGCCCAAATCTTACTTCGTATGAGAAAGTGATGATTTTTCGAAGTTTCGGATTATCAGTGTACAACCTGAAATTCGAATATTAGATCGAGCGGTTTTTAGCCGATACAACCTAAACCAGAATCGAAGATCTCGTTATTAGTAGCATAACGATAAAAATACAGACGAAAATGGACATCGGATGAAGAAGTTATGAGATTTTAACGGACCAATCATGTCCCGACCTGTTAAAAATATAACTTTAAAAATAAAGTCAAAATTAGCCTACGGAGTCTAAACGAAAGTTGTAGAGTACGTCTCCACCTACGCGTGGATATAAAGAACGTCAAAAACGGAGTTCGTATGAACGAGTTCCAAATTATAATAGCATATTTACGTATTAAAATAAAGTATAAATCATATATACGTACATATATATATACATATGTATATATCATTAGAAAAGGTATCGACAATGCGGTCACTATAAGACTAATGTTGAGTTCTTTCGACATTAGTTTAGTACAAATATCATTAAATCTATTTAAAATAGTATTATGAAAGGGTGTTTAGTCGTTTATATAACTATAAGGTCATTAAGTAATTATGGAGGGTAGTTTTTGTAAATTTAGTTACTATAAATAAGAGGCTTGGGCTCTCATATTTCGTGCACCATTCCCTTGATTCAAGAGTCTTTCTCTCCTTATCCCTCGAGCATTTCGGTCCCTCATGATTCGACTTCTCTTTCTGTAGTTTTAGTATAGTAAGGTGAGTGCTGAAGCGCTGCACGAATCTTTCTTAGAAAGATTCAGCGACGAAGTTCTGCCCCTGCAGAGCCCGACTCGTAGCTAAAATCCTCTTGTAAGTAAGTTATGCTTACCCTATTTTAAATAAAGTTTAGATTTAAAATTAGTATTGTTACAATACATTTATAATTAATATTTGAGCTATTATTATGACTTATATAAGTTTCATTATAATATCTTTTTAACTACTCGCGGTACGGGGAATCTGGTTTAAAGGGCCGCATAGGGTTGTTGGATTTCATAAGTGCTATAGGCCAATATGGTCATGCCCTCCGATGTTTTATATATGACCCCTGTCTGTACATAGTGGTTGGAAAGTATTGTTTAAACGCTTATATAATAATAGTAATAAGACTAATAATTAGTCACGGTAAATATTAGACTAAAATCTAGTGGGAATAATACTAGGTTCTGTCGAAGAAAATTATTTTATAGTAAACGAAGCGTTGTCCGAGTACCGAGTCACCACCTTCTCAGGTGAGTGCATAGTTACTTTCATCTTACACATAGATATGAAGTATTTTATATAAACTACGTGCTATGTGTGCATATTATCTGAATACTTGCTGTCTATGCTGGATGAACGTTTTTTGTTATACATGTTTTAAATGATTTGAAATGTATACATATTTTAAATATACAAGTATGTTGGGTATGAGATGGGTAAATGAATGTTGAGAGATAAAATATGATGTGAGTAAACATTGGCAGCTACAGACTTAGTGCCTAACAAATAACATCGGCAACTATGGACTTAGGGCCTATTGGACAAACACTGGTAGCTATGGACTTAGTACCTGTTAGGAATTGGTAGCTATGTACTTAGTACCTATTAGATAACACTGGTAGCTGTGGATTTAGTACCTAACAACTATGGAATTAGTGCTTTACGAACGAGCATTGGCAGATATGGATTTAGTGTCAGTCCTA